TATTGCTGTTATAATATCACATTAGTCATAACATAGAAAGAATAAGTTTTATAAAGATACAATTTAAGAAAAATACTTTTTAATTAATATGCCACTGCTGCTTTTATCTCTAGCTACATGCCTCCCGCTAGAACATGTTAGTCTCCTATATATTTGGGGCCTATGCATTGTTCTCAGTTTCTGTTATGGAAATCCTAAAGATTGTTTTACAGTTGTAGTTAACTTTTGTTTGCTTTATTTGTTTGTCTGGGGATCTAAATCAGTTTCGTAAAAATTGTCTAAGAATGTGAATCATAGAACCTGTTTTGTTAAAAAAAAAGTTAAAAGATCATGAAATGAGGCCAGTTTTTCTCTTGGCATCTGGGTAGATAAATGCATACCTATTAAATGGAGCATGGTCTTTTGATAGTAAATTTAGCCTATGGGTATATTCATTTTACAGCATTCACTCAGGCTTAAAATATCCTCTAAGAGAGAGTAAAGCTAAGAACACCATCACATGACTGTCTGGGTTTCTGAAATGCTAAGGCTTTATGAAAGCCTTATGGATTATGAGTAATAATAAAACAAGTGCTGGCTTGTTAAGTAAGATCATCTCTTCTATGCACTATATAACCTAGAATGTGATTTTAGATACTATGGTTTTACATCACAGATGATTCCATAATCATCAAAAGAATTTGCCTAATTATAATAGTGTATTTTCTTAGGAAATAAGTTAATCTGGGTATTTAAATGATTTTAAGATTCCATTTGAGAAATCTTTTATTTATATTAAATGAATGTATTTATCACATTTCTCTAGGCATGAAAAATATAGTGGGTAAAGTATTCCAAGATTGAAATATGACAGCCATTGCATTGTAAACATAGAGGTCAGCAGCTATGACCACTTCAACCCTCTCGTCAACGCGGCCACTCTTTCCTTTCCTTTTGTCCTGAAGAAGATCCATCCCTGCTTCTTTCTTGAGCCCACTCTTCTTCCTAATCTTCTTAGCCTCATCTTGGATCTGGTTTCATTAAGGATTTCTGCTTTCTCATAATTTCAGTCTCACTATCTCCATGGTAAAACGTGCCATCCTTGAGGATGCAAATATGCTTTCATTTTGCCTCAGGCTACTTTGTATTCCCCCTTCCTTTTTTCTCTTTAAACCAGATCTCTTAAAAGACTAGTTTATATTTACCCATCATGTCTTCACCTCCTATCTGCTGTCTAACCTTTTGCAGGCCCATGTTCAGTCAACAGTTCATCAACGTATATTTCCTGAGCCCCTTCTGTGCTGGGCACAGGGGCTTCAGCAGTGCACAAAATAAGGCCTTTGCCCTCTTGGGGTTTACATTCTAGTAGGGGAAGGTGGGGAGGGGCAGTAAATATTTGTTAGATGTGTCTATGATATGTGACATATGCTAAAGAGAAAAATCCATCAGGATAAGCAGTTAGGAAGATAGAGATATTTCAAGCAGAGTGGTCAGGAAAGGCATCTCTGATAATTATTTGCGCAGAGACCTGAAGCAAGTGAGGAAGCTCTTCATATGAGGAAGAGCATTTCAGGCAAGGAAACAGCATGTACTCAGGCTCTGAGGCAGGAGCATATCCACATACATGCCCAAAGGACAGGAAAAGGGCCACTGTGCCTGGAGATGAACAGGGGAAGGAGTAGGAGTGCTGGTGCCAGATCCATAGGACCTTCTAGGCTGTGGTGAGATTCCTGATGGGGGCCATGGGAGGGATTTGAACCAGAGGAATGACATGATTTGGCTTGTGTTCTAAGGCGATAACTCTGACTGCTCTATGCAAAATAAATCCAGAGAAGCAGAGTGATCAGCTATGGGAATCATCCAGACAGGAGATTATGGTCGTCTGGGCTGGGAGGTATCTGTGGAAGTGATGAGAAGTGACTCCGTTCTGGGGATGTTTCTAAGAGCTGACAGGCTGAGTAGTGCTGGAACCTTCCATCCTTCCAGTGGAGTTTCCTCTCCACACTCCACATTCTTTTCCTTCCTTATGGCTCAGGAAGCTGACCCATACAGATGGCATCAGCTCTGGCTTCTCTTTGGGTTTGCCCATGAGGGGCAGAAGCCAGGGTGAACATGAGGACAGAATATTGTTCTCCCCACTTCCTGCCCCCACTGGTTGGCTGTGTCTCGACCTGAGGCTGCAGCCCTCCCCTACAGTGAGCCTGTCTGGACTCCTGGAAACCTTTCCCACTCCTCCCTCCTTCACACCTAGGGGTGATGGCAGTTCCTACTGTTGCTAGCTCAAGAGTACACCACTATCCTTTATTGATTTTCCTCTACCTTGCCCACAACTTATAAACAGCCCCTTTAGTAAGCTTTCCTTAATTTCTTATGATCTTGACTCATACTGAAGCTAGAGCATCTAATGTGAAAACAACAGAACTTTTTTTTTTGGTCACAGTCCTTTACTCATTTTTCTCCCCAATAAAATGTTAAATCCTTGAGGACAAAAGTTGTCATATTCCTATTTCTGTTACCATTACATGAAGTAGGTAGGGTTTGCTGCAGTTTTGTCAATGAATGTTATAATATAGTGATGCCACTTGAGTCCTTAAGAATTACCTAAATTATGCTTGATATGAAAGATTAAAAGTAGGATGTGTGTGTGTGTGTGTGTGTGTGTGTGTGTGTGTGTCCATCTTAATGTTTATAGGTATAAGTTTCACCTTATTGGATAATTCAATTCAATTCCCTGGGATCAAAGAGACTTTTAAGAAACAGTTGAGTACATTTTCTTATTACTCATTGTTCTTGCAAAACTATCTAAACAACAGTTTGTTGATTTTACCAATTGTTTTTGAACTGGAAAGAAATACTATTTGATCACAGTTTTTCAAGAACATAAATTTTTACCAAAAAAGATGATGCCAGTAACCTTTTTTCCAGTAACTTGAAAGGGGGATGGTGATTTATTAGTTACCTGTTAAGTGACTTTATTTGCATGACATTTTAATAGCACTTATTCCCATTATATGTGATTGCATACACTTACAAGATTATCAATGTGATTGTTTTCCTACCAATTTTTTTGTTTTTCTACCAATTTTTTAGTACTGCATTTTGTTATTGGTGTTTTCTGCTGGTCTAAAGAATATTTTATCATCACATATTATTAGTTGTGCTTATAATTTGGTGGCTTGCCCTCTTCTCGTCTTCTTTTTTTAACCTTGACTTATTTCTGTTTTTCCTTTGGGCAAAACCTTAAACAGTAGGCTGGACAGCCTTGAGGTATAGTTTTAATAAAAGCTTTGCTGAGTAATCATTTGGTATAAAATCCCGACCAAATCCATTAGTGGAAAAAGGAAGTAATATCTTTTCAAGGTTAACTTTCTTTGTGGTCGCTCCCATGAATAACACACACACACACACACACACACACACACACACACACACTGAATTTAACTATTGCTTGGATTCAACTATATTTGAGATCCATATTTCTTATAAGGAGAACAAAAATTCCATAAGGTTAAGAGAGCATGTTGTCAAAGAATTTATTTATTAAATATAAATTAAAACCATAGAGTTTTGCTTATGTAAAATTTTAGCCAATCCCCCAGGAAAATGTCCAGGAACACCCCATTGATTAGTTTGTTGATGTTTTTTAACTAAAAAGGCATACCCTTCTTTTTCTTTTTATCCTTTTTTAAAATTGTTGACATTATTAAATATTCTCACAACCTAAGTACATACATGTTTTGCTTTTTTGGAGATAAACTTTCTATATTTTAAAGCAGTAATTTATTTTGTGGGTTTTAAAATTAATTTGATAATTTTATTTGAAAAGTGAATAAGCACTTGACTACACTGAAGCAAGGGTGTTTTTCAAATCTATGGGGTGTGTAGCAGCTGTAAATCCAAGAACTAGTCTTTCAGGGCATTCCACCAGTTACTGTCTGTACAATCCCTTTCACCTTTACTAAGGTCTATTAACAGGCAAATTAAGACTCTCCTTGGAGTATTATTTATTGTTCTTTTCCACTTGGAAGATCACAAGCAAAATGATGGTTGTGAAATTGTGAAATAATGAATAACAAGCATTGACTTATAAATAATTTATGTTTCTGAAAGTTTCCTAAAATTTCTGTGAAAGTGAGAATTTAATTTAAGCCCCCACCTTCCCAGGAAAGATGGTGATAATGTTCTCTGAGATCCCTGTGCAGAGTATAGTAGAGGGAGAGAACTGAAAAAAATTGGTTCAGACACCATCATTTTTTGGCTGTGTCCTTGTATGGTGGAAGGGAGAGAGCTCTCTGGGAGTCCTTTTAGGACACTAATTCTTGAGGACTCTACCCTCATGACCTCATCACCTCCCAATAGCTCCACCTCCTAATACACATTTGGGATTAGGATTTTAACATGAATTTTGGGGGGACCCAAACATTCAGTCTATTGTAACTGTCATTGTGGTAATGGATTAGAAGAAAGAAATGGATGTATGAGCCGTAACAGATTTATATGTAGGGAAAGAAGAAGACACTAATCTTAGACTTTCAAAATGAGTGACTAGCATTGTGCATATAACAAATCCAGGATTGTTCTTTGGTTTCTGAAAAGTTTCTATATGTGGAAAATATAGGAATGCAAAATTTAAAAAACTGATACAGATTAAATGTGGTCTACCATATTATTTATATAATAATTAGATAGCTAATAGTCTCCAAAGGAAGGATTATAGATAAGATCTTCTACTTTCCTTTAGTTAAGAGAAATATATCCTGTTTCTCTAGTTCGTTCATTCAGATCCCTATATTACATTATATCATGCCCAGAAATGTGTTATTCTTTTGGTTCTTGTATCCCAGGACTGCTGATACAGTGATGTGTGGAGCTCAAACATAAAACCTGTTGAAAATTAAACCATTGCCTTCTGCATTTGATCCAACATACTATATAGAAATGTATATATATGAGATATACAAAATTATTTAGTTACAAATAATTTTACTTTATTATTTCATAAGTATTTTTATTATTGGCAGGTTCGATGGATGATGTACTGGATTGTTTTTGCTCTCTACACTGTGATTGAAACAGTAGCAGATCAGACAGTTGCTTGGTAAGTTCTAGTATTGAGAAAGGACCAGACTATAGAGTTGTTATCAGGTGTCCTGAGTTCTTATCCTGCTTTTGCTGTTAACTAAGTGAATTTGATCAAGTTACCTAATTATCCAGTGTCTCGTTTTCTTGATCTGGTTTCCCCATAATAATATTACTTTCCTTACAGTCTCTCTGGAATAAAGGCAGCTCATTCTTCTCCCCAGGCCACTCCCTGCCCATCCCCCACACATCTCCCAGGATCTGGAATAGAGAAATTGGTTCTCATTCTTTTTTTCCACACTGATGTCTTCAGGCTATTTTTCTTTATCACTTCCTAAAAGACTCCTCTTTTGACACCCACAGCAGTCCCTCCGCATCCTTAAAACTCTCATCTACATTCAAATTGGATGGCATCCATGGGGACACCCATTGACCTCCAACTCTGTTCCAAACCTCTGAGATAAAATTATAAACCTCTGATATAAAGCACGTTTATATCCTCAAGGATTTAACATTTTACTGAGGAGCAAATACTTAATGCAGTGGTTCTCAACCTTCTGGCCCTTTAAATACAGTTCCTCATGTTGTGACCCAACCATAAAATTATTTTCGTTGCTACTTCATAACTGTAATGTTGCTACTGTTATGAATCGTAATGTAAATATCTGATATGCAGGATGGTCTTAGGCGACCCCTGTGAAAGGGTCGTTCAACCGCCAAAGGGGTCGCGACCCACAGCTTGAGAACCGCTGACTTACTGGGACAACTTGAATCTCCTTGTGCTGTATTTCAGTAGTGCGTTTCTACCTAAACCTTGCCATCACGTGGAAAAGTCCTCCTTTCAGAATCTGTAAACTTACTACCTTGCCAGTATCTTAAGCTGCCCTTGCTGGGCTATCCTCCGGCCTAAATAAGCCCAGTTGTCTTTACTTCTTTCCCAGGCTACTAAATGAGCTGAAAAAATCAATCAGTTGCTCATATAGGTATCAATTTGAACTTCCCTACTTCTTTTACTTGCTTTTGGTCAGTTGCTACTTCCAATTCCCTCTTTTCTGTTTCACACATGTACTGTTCTCTCCTTAAACTGTCTTTCTGACTTTGCTATTCTCATCATATTCTCACGGTACATTAGGTCACATTGGATTGCTAGAAAAAAAAATTGAAGTCATCAGACTTAAATGTTCTTAGCATCCTGCCCTTATTTATGAATTTCTCTGTACTACATCTCATCCATCTTTCTCTTCCTTTTTCTGTCCCATAGCTCATTCATTTCCCTGGTATGTTTTTGGTATAGGGGTTGGGAGAGGGTTTTCTGTTTGTTTGTTTTTAAATGTCCGAACATAGATTCCAAATCATGGTAGGCCTCTTGAGTCTCAATGTTCTTTTTGTAAAGACTTCTCATTGTTTTATGATTGCAAATATATCATATATTATTAAAAAACTGGCCCTGGCCAGGTGGTTCACTTGGTTGGAGCTTCATATACCAAAAGGTTGCTGGCTCAATTCCCAGTCAGGGCACATGCCTAGGCTGCTGGTTTGATCCCTGTTCAGGGCACATACAGAAAGCAACCAAGTGGTGTTTCTCTCTCTCTCTCTCTCAAAAAAAAACACAAAAAAACTCCTCAGGTGTGGAATAAAAAAAAAAAACAAAGAACAATGTAGGGAGCATTTACCACCATCAGTGAAAACCAGAAATTCCTCTGTGATTGCAGCATCGCCGAGACCTTCTGCTGGCATTCCTCACTGCCCGATACCCATCTGCCTCCTCAGAAAAGTCCAGGTTTTTCAGTCACCCTGTATCTTCATGACCGCAGGATGTTGATTCCCTCATGCTGTATTAGTTAACTTGCTGTGGCAGCAAATAACCCTAAAAGCATAAGTTAGAAAAACAAACATTTATTTCTTGTTCAAACTACATGAGGGCAGATGGTTGCTGCCGCTTTGCTGGACTTGACTATTTCAAGTGTCTCTTCTTTATGGGACCAAGGCTGAAGAAGCACTTGTCACAGCAGAAGGCAAACATTTAAAGCAAGAGGGTGGGGGTGTTGGGGTGAGGGAGTCAAAGGGCATCTAAAGCTTCTCCTTGCATGTGACTTGTCACACTCTTTCTGCTTGCAAAAGCAGGTCACATGGTTAAGCCCACTGTCACTGCTTGGGGAAGTGTACTCAGCCTACTGGGAAGGCATTGCAAAGTCTCATGAAAAGGGGCATGGGCCAGATCTAACCCTAACTCTCAGTCTACCACAGTGGTAATTCCGTTTCTTTTGCAAGTGAACAATTTAGGTCTGCAAAGTGCTGGAATTCTGGCCAAATGAGATGGGAGGGGAAGTTTCCTGGGAGTTCTGAGAATGAGAAGATGTGTGTATGGGCTAACATTGTGCACATGTGGCCTATAAATGTAAGTCCTTATGGTTGGAGGTATATCAGGAACTGCCAGGGCTGTTGGGCTCTGCAGACAGAATGGGGCTACCTCACTGCCTGGTTAAATGCTGTCAGTGCCCTCTGGGCTGCCACACTCGGTTGGCAGCTTCCCTGTGCGCAATGCTTACACTGAAGAATCTTCACTGGAAGGTGTGAATCTCTGTGGGGATCAGGTTGCTCTTCCCTCAACTGATATCTATATTTAACTAAATTAGTTTGTCATTCAAACACAGGTGTTTCTTCGATCTCTCACTTTTACATATGAAAATTTAACATAGAGACTGAACTTTTTAGAAAGTGTTTTGTTACTTGTTCATTGTCTGGAGTTTCTTTTCATTGGCTTTTTTTTTCCCTTCAAATTTTTTCTTGTTAGGTTCCCCCTGTACTATGAACTTAAGATTGCTTTTGTCATATGGCTGCTCTCTCCCTATACCAAAGGAGCAAGTTTAATATATAGAAAATTCCTTCATCCACTTCTTTCTTCAAAGGAAAGGGTAAGATATTTAAATTATTGCCATCAATCATTTGTTAGAAATATATATCATCAAATGCTTTATGCTATAAAAATTGTGAAATGATTATATTATGGGGGAGTCCTATTTTTTTGCTTCTGGACACTATACTTAAATATAATTAATATCTATGTGGTTGGGTTTTTTTTCCTCCCAGGAGATTGATGATTATATTGTACAAGCAAAAGAACGAGGCTATGAGACGATGGTAAACTTTGGACGACAAGGTTTAAACTTGGCAGCTACTGCCGCGGTTACTGCAGCAGTGAAGGTAATTTCTTATTTACAATGTTTATCCAAAGCACATTAAGTCAACGGATAAAGTAGGGTGGCTCTTTATTTCAGATCAGTATGAAATGTTGGCAGAATTTTGCTCTCTGTTTATTTTTTTAATACTGGGAAAAACAAGTATGTCATGTTATAAGCATTTTTACACATTTTCTGTAACTAAATATTTTGAAACTCTTTATCGATCACAAAATGAGAGCTAGTTAATAAATAAACCAGAAAATGTCATTTTGTCATAACTTTCCTACTTTATAAACTTCAAATAGTTTGAGTAAATCACCTTTAGTAAAGATGACCGTTCTTTCTTTCCTTGTCTTTGGCATTCTCTCTCTCGGTGGCAATATCTTGATAGGATTTCTGGCTTACTTCTGCACCCCTACTTCAACCAATTTGAGGTAACTGATTATTCAAAATAAGGCATGGAAAACTTGAGATTTTACTTAGCCACTACTAATGTCATGTGTTGTGTTTTGCAAGCCAAGTTATCAAATGAATGCCTTCTGTGAAAACTTGCATTGTGGCTTTTGGATTCCTTTGCATGTAGTAATTAGTGTGGTTTATTTTAAATGTGATAGTATAATTGATTTTGGTGTGCAGTGTATGCAGAGAAAACGGGCTTCAAACCCCAAAAGTGCTGAGTATGACTTTCTAAATAACCATCAGCAATTTACTTAACTTCTGTATTCCTTAGTGGCTTCATGTATAAAACAGGGATAATATACCCATCGGTGAGGGCATGTATAAAAGCACAGTGCTTATCAAAATATAGTAGGAACCCAATAAACAGAAATATCATGTATCTATAAAAATTCAAGGGAAAATTTGATTTTGTTGCTATTAAGTTAAATTGAGATAAATAGTATTCTAGCTTTTGAGTTCGGCTTTTTCAACTTAGTTATTTTGAACTAAAACATTAATGCTATGGAAATATTCTAGTTAAGTGGTGATTTTACATAATAGCAATGGTGAAGGGATATAAAATGTCAAATGGGCCTTCTTTTTTCAGGGTGATCTTTAGCTGAAGTATCATAATTAATAGGATTAACAGGATAAAAAGTTGACATTATATACTAGAAGTGTTACATTGATAATTAAGTGGAAACATCCTATCTAATAATAGACAAACATGGTAATTGACCATACCTTTGCTACGCCTCCCTTTGGCTAATCAGCGTGATAAGCAAATTAACGGCCAACAAAGATGGCGGCTAATTTGCATACTGCAGGCATGGCAGGACAGCGCCATCCCGCCTGCCCTGCTGCCATCCGGGCCTGCTATCTGCGACCCGGGGCGGCAGGCGTCTGTGTGCAACCCGACCCAGGGTGGCCGGGCAGT